TGTGTGTGTGTGAGAGAGAGAGAGAGAGAGAGAGAGAGAGAGAGAGAGAGAGAGAGAGAGAGAGAGAGAGAGAGAGTTTTCCCTCGATAGGATGAGCAACGCACTGGCCAACAGGTAAGTCTCCAACCCCGCGGCTGCTCTCACGCTTCTCCCATCGATAGGATGAGCAAAATCGGATGAATCTTCCGCTAGAACATGGAAGTATACACTGCCACGTTTGTTTGGTTGTGTGCGTGCGTGCACGCACACGTGTGTGTGTGTGTGTGTGTGTGTGCGTGAGAGAGAGAGAGAGAGAGAGGGAGAGGGGTGGTGGGCGCCCACCTTCATAGCTGCTCGCTGCAGCTTACTGCTGTTGCCCGCTGCCGCTTTTGCATTGTAAAATGCAAGTATATCTGCGTGGTCCATCGGGATCATAATTCTTATTGGCATAGGAAGGATATAACCTTTTGTAAGTCCGTCTTACAAACCCATACTTCTTAAGTCGTTCTACAAGCTCCTTGATAGGGGCTCGGCGGAGAATGAGTCTCGGGTGTATCCTTCTTCGGTATACTTTTCCGTGCGCTTCGCGCCTAACCCAAGAGACTTGATTTTGTGCCTTCCATTTCACGGCATGAATTTGGGGCGTTCGACTCTGGAAAACGGCCGTCCCCCGTCTCCAAAACGTTTTTTGGGGGAATGGCCTGCCGAATGCGAAAAATTCAAATTCGGCAGGCCCTTCCCCCCCAAAAAAATTTCGGCGGCGGGGCGCGGCCGGTTTCCCGAGTCGCGTGCCCCGCTCTTCAATTGAGCGCCCGCCATACCAAGGAAAAACATTATGTGTGCCTACGGTTTACCGGGCAGTTCTGTTTGTGACGATATATATATCGTCACAAACAGAACTGCCCGGTAAACCGTAGGCAGAGAGAGAGAAGAGGACAACAAACGAGGGGCTGTGACAAACTGTTTCGTCAACCACCCCTCTTTTTCTGTGTGCGGGGAGCTACGGTGCGCCGTGCGCTGCGCTGCGCTCGGTGCGCAACGCGTGCGCAAATCAACGGCTGGTATACCTGTATGCTTTCAAAACATACTGGACGCTGTGGTGCGCCGCAACTATGATCTGTATGCTTTGAATAGGAACTGGACGTCTTGGAACTGGCTGGTATACCACCATAATGAAGTTACATTCTTTTTTTTTTTTTGTATTTGGGATTTTTGGGTAGTGTTTCTCTTTTTGGACTTTTTTTTTTTTTGTTTTGGCATCTTTTGGAGGTCTCCGAAGTTTAATACGCCAGCTTTTAAAACAAAAACTGAATCGGAATTAATTGCACGAGTAAAAGGATTCAAATTTTGAACATTTGCATGTCGGTGTCGAAAACTGACACCTTTCCACTTGTCTATACGCCAATGAGCTAACGCGACCAACCAACGGCACCCTTCTGGGAAGCGAGGTAGTCTCGTGTGAGCTGCATCGTTTGCCTACATATTCCCACAACTAGTACTGTTGGAACTTGAATTAACAAAATCTGTTTCTACTACATTTTGTTCGTCTTTTGTGTCTCTGTTTGTTTTGTTTGTTCATTTGTCAGTGTGTGTGTGTGTGTGTGTGTGTGTGTGTGTGTGTGTGTGTGTGTGTGTGTGTGTGTGTGTGTGTGTGTG